GGTGGCCATGGAATGGATTGGGCTGAAGCGAATGCTTTGCTCGAGGAGCACGGACTGGGCGATATCCTGGAGTCCTTTCACGCTGCCCAGTGGCAGCCTTCTTCTCAGCCATCAACAGGCTCGAACGCGGTTTCCGCGGAGCCATGCATACCGTCAAGCGTTTCCGAGCCCTCAAGAAGCGGGGCGGGTTCGAGCGGAGAGGCCAAACCTTCCCGAGAGCCAAAGCAAACGCACAGTCTCAAAGAACGTCCCAGATTGTTATATAGATGGTTTCTCGATAGGTGCAATCGCAATGAGCATCCAACGAATCTTGGAGCAATCAAAGAAGAAGAAGGAAAGAGAGCAGAAAAGGAAGGAAAGGAAGAATCAAAGATTCCCACGTCAGTCTTCTCTCTTCTGGCGGAAATGAACGAGCGGGCCAGATCCACAGACAGTCTGGAGGTTTGGGTGGGGGATAAACCTGCAGCCTAGTGTTTGGCTATAAAGGGACGCGGACATCAACGAAAGCAGATGGGAGTGTGGCAGAACGCACAGGCCAAGAATCTGTTCATGTTGTGGGTCCAAGAGAGTGGCCTACGTACGGTTCGTTCTCAGCAGAGCGAATCAATCTCCTTGTGGAGATGCAACAGAAACGGCCAATTAATGAATGCATATGATGCGTTTCGGGTGAGGCTAGCTGTCTGAATAAATAAGAATAGAAGAGCATGATTGGGTCTGATTGGTAATGAAGTAGGGATTGTCGCCGAAAAGTTGTGGCCGTGTTGGAGTTCAGGCATCTAGCATGTGCCGATCAAGACGTCCTTGAAATGTCATGCGTTCCTCTGTGATCTCCAGCCAGTCTAATTTTCGGGCCGGAAACGGGGTTCGGCAGCTACTGATTTGACGAAGCGTGTCCCCAGCAGACGTGGGAGGAGCGCGTGCAAGCCAGAGAGTCGCTGATCACATTCTTCCTGTTTTGACAGCAAATAAACCAGCCCCGCTATATGCATGAAAAGGTTTCAAGTGAAGTCCTCGCATCGTCCAGCCGAGTTAGGGACGTCGCGAGGTCTTGATAGGTGACAAAGATCCGGAAAGACCAGAAGTGCAGGATTTTCCCTGTTAGTCATTGGCTCAGCGGTCAGACAGGTGGCCTGTGCCGTTAACTGTTTGCATTTAAATCCTTTTAAAGGCCACCATGATAAATCATTCTCAAACAAGTCTTCCTCAAGCCTTTAGGAGGTACCTGATATGGCGCGCTCGGAGGTCTTCTGGTTGTTATGACGTAAAGACTAATGGGTAATGGAACGTTTATTTCCCGTGAACGCCGCAGCCAGATCAAAATGAGTAAACTAGAGGAAAGAGATTTTTTTTTATTTTTTTTTGGACATGCATCTATCAGCGATCCCGGGAAACATAGCGACATAGATTTTTCCCCGGTGGCTGAGCCCGAAGGAGACTACTGTTAGCGTCAACTCAACCTACCTTATTCTTACCTAGAATTATCCCCTATAAAGCACCCATTCTCTAACGACACAGCTGCCTCCACTGCTTCATCCTGGACAACGACCCTCAATTCCGGTGTTTCCACTTGGTCTTCTCTCTCGCAAGCAAAGCCCTACAGCCCATCCTGTATCCGCCTCACTAAGGTCACCGTTGCCTTTGTCGCTTGTTAAGGGACCATGGCGAACCGTCTTTAAGATCCTAGACACGCTGAATCCATTTTCTAATACCTTAATAATTACGGCCTGGAGGTACGGGTACCGCAACGCTTCATAGAAAGTCAAGAGCATCACGAGATTGTTCTTGAGCACACTGCCAACATCAAAAGAGGTAGTAAACGGTGGTCGAAGAGTTGGCGATGCAGGCATGGTGTGTACTTAATTCTTCACTGGAAAGCTTCTAAACCAGTGTCGTCGAGACCGATTTCTGTCACGATTGGTGCTGCAGCCTACACTAGTCCACTGCCGCCTACGCCAACTCTCTACTGCCTACGCTACATGTTTGCAACCAGTTTGGCACTCATCTGCCTAGTCACTCCTTTATGTATATATATCTCCTAGATAGCTCTCAATTCATCATCAGGTTGATCATGACTTTCTTCCAGCTCGCTCTGCTGCAATTTCTTCTAAATCAGCTTCCTCTAGTATCCCATCACTACAGTCTAGTATCTTTAAGCCAGCTATACTCAAGCCAGTCTTCCCGAACCATCTTCTCTCGAGCGCGATCTGTGGAATCACAAACAACATCATCTTGAAAATCCAAAGACTAAAGTTCAGGCCTAAAAGCTATCATCAGTCTGGTAGGAGTAAAGAAACTTCGGGCAAAAGCCCGAGTAAGGAGTGTCGTGAGCTGATTCGACAGCTTTATGACGGTCGATGAGGGTAAACAGCTCTTAATTAAGAGAGAACTCACTGGCGCTGAGTATGATCAACTGCTGGATGAAATAGCGGCCGGTCTGTTACTACGAGAATATTTCATTGACGAGCTTCGGTAAGCTAACGTTTTGGATATATCTACACTTGAAACTAATAGCTCAGATCCGATTACACACGCAATACAAAAGAATTTATCCTTCGTATGCCTTCAACCCTACATGACACTCTAGCTGAAGAGATTGGCAGAAACATCTACAAGCAACTAGAGCAAATAATAGAGCGCAGAGTTTCTGGTATAATCGTTGCCGCCACCGCCGTCGCCAAAGGTATAAGAGGAAATGGTACCTCTGAGATAAATTCTTGGTACCTGAGGGGAGATCGCCGGACAAAAAAGGTCCGGACAAAGCTTTCATCACAGAGAATGCAAATATCCTGGAGTTATTATAGAGGTAGCGTGGTCCCAAAGGAGGAGTTGAGTTGAGTTTTATTCCGCCCGGCTCTACGCCTAAAGGGCACTAGTACACTATGTTACATAATCACGCTTCCTTTGATGCCGACATAAACTCCTCAAGCCCATACGTGTTTCTGCTCTGCCTCTGCCTCTGTCAACTGTCTACTCTCATTCTTCCTCCATTCTCGTGCGCGGTTAGTAGCAAGCAGTCTTGGAGTTTTTCCTCCAAGTGTTCAGTGTCCTTTCCACGGCGATTGAAGCGTAGCCTTTTAGGGTGCGGTCAATTTCATTCGCTGATGACGCAGTACGGGCCTGTATTCCACGGCGATCCGTGTTCAGCCACAGAACGGATCCCGGAGAGTCGCGGGTCGTATTTACAAGCTTCGCCTCTAGGGCCCAGACAGTTAAGAAAGATTATTGTCACCTTTACCTAACGATAATTGTGAAGAGCTGGGGAAAAGAGATCTCTTGGAAGTTCATAAATCGATCAGCCAATCTCTTAAAGCGCCTTAAATCGTGTGCAGAGGTAACGCCCTGGGAAGTTGCAAAGGTTAAGCTGAACCAGATTCTCAGCCTCGAAAACGACGTGTACGCAGGACCTTCTGAGGATCGCATCTGCACGCGTCATGTGGATAGGCTTTTGTCCTGGAAGGGTACCGAAGATAAGGAGCTCGTAGTGACATCGCAGCGGTATGAAAAGTGTCGTTTTGCTCCGCTCGATGGAACGTGGCGCTACGACGACCATGGTGTTGTCTTTCCGAGAAACTTTACCCCGACTGAAGCAGACCTGAAGTTTCCATCTTCTGCCTGTCATCCCCAAGGGCTGTTTCGGGAGCCACAGCTTGCCTGTGAGTCTGTCAAAGCGGACAACCGCGATGGCAAGGGACGAAACGAAACGGGTTCGAACGATGGAGTCGACCTCTCGCGGTCCGGTCGGCTTTCTGGGTCCTCCGGGCAAACACAGCCCGGTCCAAGTCCAAACGAGAATGTCTCCTCAGACTCGTTGACTCTCGCCCCTGGAGATTCGGTGAATGAAGACCGTCACCGGGACGATGATGAGCACGAATACGACGACAATAACGAAGACAAGGAACAGAGTGAACAGCAGAGTGAACAACAGGGCGAGGAAAGTGGTGAGGACGAGGAGAACGAGGAACAGGGGCCTCAAGCTCCGAACAAAGAGGCCGAAAGTAGCAGAGTATCGCCGGCGTCTTCAGTGGTCGATTCAAACTCATATGGTTCGTTACCGGAACGGACGATTGAGTCTTCCAATTCATCCGTTTCGGGGGGAGAACATACCTCTAAAGTTGTTGAAACGATTGGTTCTTCTGCGGGCCCCGGCAGCACACCGGACCAGAAATATTCTATAATAAGAAAAATATAATTTCTAGATTTCCGAAAGAAGCTCCTGTAATATACTTGGCACAAGAGACTCATCTGGCGCGTACGAGGCTAAAAATGCATGGGCGGTAGATAATGTGACGTATGTCCCACAGCCCTAGAGTAGTAGGGTTCCTGGGCAGCCCGGTTCTTAAGAAAATGCCGCCCATCATACTTTATCCCTAGCATACCACGAATTTTGGTAAGGTTGATGGCGACAGGAGGCTTTCGGCCACCGTCACGTATTATCCAATTAGTTAGGAGTTCACGAGAAGGCATCCCTATAATGTTCTTGTATCTTCCTTCTGTAGGGGCCCTAGAGTAAATCGAGTTCCGATCTGTAGTGTTGTAGGCGCATCGGTACAGTATAGCCCCTCGTTCTTCATCCCAGTCTCTCTGAAACAACCCTTGTGCAAACCTTTCGGGAAGGGAACACGGCTAGTGAGTATTCTTAGTCGGGGAGGTTTCTTGACCACCTGATTCCGTGTAACAGGGGTACGTCCCCTGACTGGGCCTAAGACATTTGTCAACTACTGAATCTCTATAGATTAAACTTTTTGATGCGGTATCTCAGTTTCGTGCCTAGCCTCAGACCATTTTCCTGGGCGTTGTCTACGGGGGACGGTTAGCAGGTGAAGCGACAAAACTAAATTTTCGTCTGAACCCCGCACACCTGCACCCCAACTCTGCTCATCTATCCCCACCAAAACGCTATAATAATTGTTATATTACGTACGTACAAGCAAGATACATTCATCATGCCCGGTAAGACTCTTTTTTGGGAATAATTTTCGTACGATAGCTAATGTAATGTAGGTGGCCGACCCCAAATTAACCTAGATCAGTACCAACTCGAGATGGCTGCACTATTTCATGAGGGCCTTACGTTCGAACAAATTGCTAAACACCTCCGCGAACAATATAATATTAATGTTAATGTTCGTACAATATAAAGGCGTTTTAAGAGCTGGAAGATAGTGCAGCAGCTCCCTGTAAAGGTTAAAGAACAGGCTAAAAAGCGTATCCAAGTACTATTCTTTAAGGTCAGCCTTGAAAATGAGGATATACTATGTGTACTTAAAAATAAAGGCTTCCAAATTGGGAAATATACACTCGTATGACTTTATTTTGAGCTGGGTCTTTAACAGCGGGTTTATAGGATTAAATAATAACAGCAGGCTAATAAGCTTGTACGAAGACTTATTACCTAAGAGCTTAAAAAAGGGGTAATTAATAGATATAAATAAAGATATCTATATACCCATTTCCGGCAGAGAGGATATATTATTATACGGGATTAATTATTCCAGGCCTATTATATAATTAATGTTAAAGCTATAGGGCGGTAGAAAAGAGATCTCTAGTGCTACTATAAAAAGTATATTATTCCTAAACTAAATTTCATCTAGTCTATTAATAGTTATCTTAAGCTAAAGTCGTACAGAGTAGAGATTTATGCATGTATTAATATATATTCATGATATATTATCTGGGTATACGTGGGAATCTTGTTACGGACGGTAACAAAGAAGAAAGCACAAGCGAGGAGGCGTCACTGTAGAAGGCACAGTATGAGGAAATATGTAAGCAATACCGACGAGCTGAAGCAAATTAGCGAAAACAGAACTTACGGATGGGGTTGCTCCGTAGTAAGTTCAAGTTCTATAGGGAACAGCACCCGGAGTAGGTAAGCAGGTCAGGTGATCAGCTACGGCGGGGCACAAGGAAGATGAGTGCTGATGATGAAGATGAGGCCAGGCACAGACTCATCTTCCCTCATCTTCTCTAGCAGTATCCAACATACTTCCAATTGGTATACAATGTACGCACGAGGGATCTACTATAAGTATGAGGCGTCGGACGGCTCGCGGTTACTTTTGATTCTTTATAGTTACTCTAAAATTGAGATTCACACCTTAAGTGAAATAGTTTAATACTATCCTGTTGAAACTCAACTTACCATATCTCTTCTTCCTACCTCTACTGAGTTAACCAACTTCCACTAAGTCTAACAAGCTATCCGATCCGGAAGTGAGGGAACTGATTGGCCGTTACATTAATTAGTTAGACGGCTTGTTACCAGTATAATTTACGTTAGTAAGTTAGCAACTTATAATAAATCTCTACCTATATAGCTATTTCCTACCTTTAGTAATTTCTTAATACTCTAGAGAGTATATAGTAATAACTATGCTTTATATAATTTAATTATAAAGTAGAAACTAGTATACTAGTAAATGCTTATTATAAGCTTTAAACTTTAGCTAAGCTAGGTCTTTAATTTAAAGACTACTATTTATATAATACTAGCACGGTAAATTAAAGAATTAAAGTCTAGTAATAATAGTTATTAAAGGGTCTTTTTTACCGTTAGTGGGTAAGTATTTTTATATAATCTTTTAATTTTATAAATATCTAATAAAGAATAGAACTACTTCTAAAGTCTTTAGTTCTAAGGTCTTTTTTTAAAAGATAATTTTACTAATTAAGTCTCTTTTTACACTCTTTATATTCTAATTATCTAAGAAGAAATCTACAACTTCGTATGATTATAAAACTTATATTTAATTTAAAAATAGAAGAACTAACTTAATGCTGTTGTTAGTAAGCTATATATACTATATAACTATTTAAAAAGCTATATATAGAACTAGAGGTTATTCTTTAATCACGAACAGCTTTATATAATAAAAAGTAGTATTAAAAGTTAGGTAATTAATATATATCTTTTACTTAAGATATTTAAATAGGGCTAAAGTGTACTCTATTTTTTAAAATTTAATTTAAAATTAGCTACTTTATCTTCTTCTAAAGATTATATAAATTTATTTCTTAGTATATATCTTTAACTCTAGTAGAAAACTTAAGAATATATTTAGAATAGATTTAATCCTTTACTTTCTTTTCTTATAGTACTAGTTAGGGTATAAAACTGGCAGGTAAGAACTTTATACATAATTATATATATAAAAGTAACGTATTTAGGGTAATCTAGTAGTTATATAATTTATTAATCTTAAAATAAATATAACTAATAGTGTTAATATACTAATTAATTTAAATTTAGTTTAATTCTTTACTTAAGCTGTAGTCTTCTTATAAACCTTTTAAATCTATCCTTATTTTATCATTAATTCTGTCTTTTATTCTATTATTTATATTTATTAATTTATATAATATTAGTAATTTATAATGGGAGATTAGAATATCCTAATATACTACCCTAAAATAAAAGATCTATATTCTAAATATCTTTTTTTTTATGTTTTTTATTTAAATTATAGTGTTTAGCTCTAACTTATAACTCCTATACAATCTAAAAGAATTCAGCTAATTATAATTAATAATATACTAAATTTAGAAATAGCGAAAAAGAGTATATTTATTTCTAATACTTAAATCTAGTTATATTAAATAAATCTACTACTAGTATTATCTTATATAAAGGCTTAGAGTCATATAATAGCTGAAGTAGCTTAATAATAATTAATTTAAAAAATATTATAGTCTTTAAGCTATAGATTTTTAGCTATAAAGCTGCTAATCCTATTTTATATTTACTTTATATAATATAAGAAAGTCCATAATAATATTTTAAAATAAAATAAGTTTATTAAATATAAAGTTTTACATATATATAATGCTATTCTGTATTTTTTTTCTAATTATTCTATAAATAGAACACATATTTAGGTACTTAACTTTATAATTAATAACTTTAATAATTTTATCTAAACTCTTTTTAGTAAAGTCATATAAATTAATCTTTTTATAATCTTAGAACTCCTAAAATACCTTACTATTAATATTAATAAAGATAATATAATATATCTTCTAAAAAGCGCCAAGAGCTATCATATAATAAAGAAATTAGTTAATAGTAAATACTTTAAAAATAATAGTAATAACTATATAAATATATATCTTATTCTTAAAAATGTTAAAGAAGCTTTGTATGAAGATATAGTTAAGAATTCTCTAATCAAACCTATAAAGGTAAAGAAGGAGATTAAGAAGGGAAAGAAAAATAAGAAAATTAAAAAATAAAATAAAATAAACTATTATAAAGTAGGAAGCTATATTATATAAATAAAAGTAAGTATTATCTATATTATTAGATGTTTAAGAGTTAAGGTTACTAAAGTTTAAAGCTTCCAGTCCCTATAGGCTTTAAAATATAAGTAAGAAATAAAAGAGCTAATATATCTCATATAAGGTTTAATTTAATTCATTTTATTATTCTATATACATAATAGCTTAATTTAGTTTTATGGTATAAAATTACTAATTTTAGATACTATATAAAGGTATAAGCCTTATTTAGGTGCTACTAATAACCTTTAGTAGCTAAATATATACTAGTATTATAAATAACCCCTATAAATAGATATATAAAGAAGAAAGAAAAGTTTATATATGTGACGGTACATGCAGGCACATGCAGGATTACATGTAGGATTACATGCGGGATCACATGCAGGATCACATGCGGGACGCGTCAGCCGGCTCTATTAATGTATATAAGCCTCATTACTCGAATAACTAAGCCTTTAGTTTAGTTGTTCTTGTTAATAGATCAGTTAGGTTCTGCACACTATGCTGACGTGACATTATAACTAAACTACAGCGTCACTACGCCGGAGACGGCCGGGAGAATATCTTTGAATGAAAAGGATTGATTATACCGCATGACTACGGCCACGCTAGTGTTCGTTAACAAAAGGATCTCTCCTCATCAAGGAATCAAGGACAAGGAATCAAGGAATCAAGGACAAGGAATCAAGGAATCAAGGACAAGGAATCAAGAATCAAGGAATCAAGGACAAGGAATCAAGGAATCAAGGACAAGGAATCAAGGAATCAAGGACAAGGAATCAAGGAATCAAGGAATCAAGGAATCAAGGACAAGGAATTAAGGTATTAAGGTCACTGTTTTTTCTCCTATTAAAACGCTACAAGCCAGAGCCGAACACCGATTAATGGCAACGCCAACTGATTCTCTTGAGGCCCTGTGAGCTGAGTACCAGAGCGTACTCACTACACTATAACGTGAGCTTGAATCTCTACGCAACTAGGTCGACGAACTACGCGCTGCTGCCGCCAGCTAGAGCCAGCACCATTAATTACCTCCTATGTACACCAGCCGCCCACGCTAACAACTCCTTGAGCTATTAAGGTTTGATGGGAAGCCTCATCACTTTTGAACCTGGCTACCTATAATAAGGGTAAAGATTCGAGTTGATGGAGAAGCTATAGGCGACTTAATCGCACGGTTCTACTACGTGTACGGTAACCTGGAGATGAACGTTTAAGTGATGGTTTTGCCTCAGCTAGCAGAAGCTGAGACCTATAGCGTATGGGAGTACAACACGATCCTTGAATAACTTGCGCGTGTATTTGAGAACCCTAATCAACAACAGGAAGCTGAGGATACCCTACACAATATTCGATAGGGAGATAAGGAGTTACCGTCAAGCTATATCGCCAAATTCGAGCGCCTCATCTACGAAGCTGGAGCTCAGGCTTGGCCGGACTTTATCAAGATATCTATACTTAGAAATGGCCTTAACCTATTAACGCGTAGAGCTCTGTCGATATAGCTATTAGTCCCATCATCCTATAACACCTTCCTCCGTACGATATAGTAACTATTATGACGTCAGGTCACATTCGCTCACGATTACACTGCTAATTATTATACTGACAGGATGGATGTAAGTACAGTTACTAAGGTAGGGAGCACTCTACATTAAGGAACTGATGCTCTAGAGCTTAGAGTAGTTAGCACCTTTAACCACAACAATGCGCCACATGTCTCTATTAGCTAACGTGATTGCTGGCGAAAGAATGGCGTATACGTACGCTGCGGATTAGTAACTTACTGGGTCTCTGAGTGCGCTCAGCGTCCTACTGTATCACAGACGGCTGCCGTCAACTTATCTAATAGCAAAGATGAGATAGGACTAGCTTTCTAGGCTCTTACTAATTAATCAACACCCTATTGATATTAGCTCGAGCTTTAAAGGGGGGTAATGTGACGGTACATGCAGGCACATATAGGATTACATGCAGGATCACATACGGGATCACATGCAGGATCACATGCGGGACGCGT